ATTACCACACCATTATTATCATAGGCAAAAATTGTTAAAAAATACAAATGCTTACATGGTTCCTATGTGGCACACCTTATCCATTGGTAAAAAATTAACACACCATTTAACGTAAGTGATTAACGAATGTACTGTAATAGTAATCGGATGTATTTTATTCACTTATGAATAATGAGTGCTGGAACTACAAAAAAATTATTTTATCTTAAAACTATATCAATATGGATGTCTAGTTATAGAGAATACAAAATTATGAATTTTGATATATTTAAAATAGTTTTTCGATAAACATAGCTCCTTAAAAATTAAAGAAAAAAAATTATGTTTTTGTATATATTAAGGTAATGATTAACATAGTTTAAGGGAATATGTTTGGTTGGAAAACACATGTGTGTTCATTTCCCTTTCCGATGATACGATGGAGGGTTTTGCGGCAAAAATAAATGATTAGCTGAGACTATTCCCTCATTCTCAACCTTTTTATTTTTCTCAATTAAACATACCTCTCTCTTTCTTTCTCTCTCTCTCTCTCTCTCTCCATATATATATATATATATATATATATATATATATATATATATATATATATATATATATATATATATAGGGGTGAGATCGGTTGAGAACTCATAGTTTCCTGAGAACCCGAGAACTAAAAGTGGAGCGTTGGATCAAAAGTAATTCATTAAGGACATGATCGTCATCTTACCAATCTAATTTAATGTTTAATTTTTTGTGTTATTTAATATATTAATATAAATGTCTAAAAATTTACATCATAAATCAAATTTTCAGATTATTTTAAAAATAATATTTTTCGTTTTTTTTAAATGCAGATTTTTTTAATTTTTTATAGAAAACATGAATTTTTGAAAAAAAATTGAAAAAAATATTTTTTTTAAAAACTGCAATTTTTTTAAAAAAACTGCATTTTTTTCCAAAAAACTGAAATTTTTTTTAAAGAAAACTGCATTTTTTTCATAAATAATTGCAATTTTCTTTAAAAAAAACTGCATTTTTAACTAAAAAAACTGCAAGTTTTTTAAAGAAAGTTACATTTTTTTCAAAAAAAAAACTGCATTTAAAAAAGATGTGCAATTTTTTCAAAAAAAACTGCATTTTTTTTAAAAGTAAATTTTTAGGTGCATATATGCATATTTTTTCAAATGCATATATGTATATTTCTTACACTATAATATTCGTAAGTAAATCACAAAAAATCTCATTTTTATTAATTAATTTATAAACATAATAGTACAAATATTTTATTCGATACAAAATAAAATATAAAAAATAAAAAATGCTACAAATTTCAAAGCGTTTTCATATCTTCGTGTCAATATTTCCTTATTTTCTTCAATTTATCATTTTTCACCTCTTCAATATTCACCACAATTTTTTCCAAATCTACAAGAAAATTTTAAAAAAATGATTGATGCAAAAACACTCACAAAAATACATATGTGATTTTCATGTGATTAACATATGAATTACATGCGATTCACATATGAATCACATTTACATATGACATCATATGTAAATCACATGCGATTCATATATGAATCACATGTGATTTACATGTGAAACACATATGATTTACATGTGAATCGCATGTGATTTACATGTGAATCGTATGTGATTTACATGTGAATCAAATGTGATTTACATGTGAATCAAATGTGATTAGTATGTGAATTACATGTGAAAAACATATGAATGTGTACATATATACGTAATTCATATGTAATTCACTTGTGATTTACATGTGAATCACATATTATTCATATATGATTTACATGTGATTAATATGTGAATCACATGTGATTTACATGTGAATCACATATGATTTACATGTGAATCACATGTGATTTACATATGAACTACATGCGATTCACATATGAATCACATGCGATTCACATATGAATCACATAGATTCACATATGAATCACATTTACATATGACATCATATGTAAATCACATGCGATTCACATATGAATCATATGTGATTTACATGTGAATCACAAGTGATTTACATGTGAATCACAAGTGATTTACATGTGAATCACATGTGAATTACATGTGAATCAAATGTGATTTACATGTGAATCACATATAATTCGCATGTAAATATATAATCTTTCTCGTACCTTGTAAAGTAAATAAATAAAAGTATGAGGTTAGTGTCATTGAAGATAATAAAGTTCATTAAAACTCAAATAATTTTAACTCTATAAATAGTTGATGAACTTTTAGTTACAAATAAAAAATTAAAGATAATAAAGTTCATTAAAACTCAAATAATTTATAATAAAGGATAATACTTTTTAGTTGTTTTTAAATAAAGAAACTTGAAAATTAAGTAAAATAATAAATGAAAGTTCAAAAATATTTGTGTCATTAAAAGTTACATAAACGAAAATGGGGTAATATTATAAATTCTCATTCCATTCCACGATTGAGTGAAGAAAAAACACTCAATGAAACAACAAAGATAATAAAAATACATTAAAACCCAAATAATTTATGATAAAAATAACACTTTTTGGTTATTTAAAAATAAATGTAATTGAATTGATGTAATATAAATATTTGTGCCATCATAAATTACATACATAAAAATGGGTTTTATTCAAAATTTTCATGCCATTCCATGATTGAAAAAAAAACACCCCCTGGCTGAGAAGTGAAAATTAGCAAAATGATTCCTTCCGGAATTGTCAATTCCATTCCATTGGGCAAAACAAAACACTACCTGAGTGTATGATCTTAATCACTAGAAATTATAATGAAATGAATGTTTGATTATAATAAGAAAAAAAAACTTACCATGATCTTTAATGGAGGAAGTACTTTGAGCAGACAACTCCCTTTCTCTTTCATTCCAATTATCCTCTTTTGTCCGATAATCTACTAATTTAGAGCTTATCTCTCTGCACATGTTTCCAGATGCTTCTAATTCTGTCTCCAATTTAGATACATACCCTTCCATGGTATGCATCATTTTCTTCTTTGGCTTTATCATACATTAATCTAGCTTTCTTTAATTCACCCTGTAATTCTTTTGTTTGTTTAACCACAGATGGCATAGTATTCTTTATTACCTCCACCTTTTTCAACAAAGATGCAATCATGTCATCAATCAGTATTGAGAAACTACCAAATTGGTCACTAAGAATTTTGTTTCTAGCATTCAACTTATCCAAAGTGTTTCCAACATGTGAACCAATAATAATACCCTTACTATCTTCTGCATTGAACTCTTCAAGCATCCCAATGTTCCAATCATTGTCAAATCCAACATCCTAACTTTCCTATAAATCATAAGAAATGAGATAGATAAAAGAGAAAAAAAAACATGAAACTAAATAACTAAAATTGTAAGAACTGATGATATTATTACCTCAACTGAATGATGCTCTTGAAACTGTTCTGAATCAAAACTACCCTCTATGTCTTTGAGAACACAGTCTATTTCTTTTAAGTTTTAGATTTTTTTCTCAAAACTTCTCTTGAAAAAAGTGAATAAAGACTCATCTTTTAACAACACTTAAAGATTTCCTAAGAACCTAGAGAGCTCTTGACCCCATTTATCATTACATGTATTTAACTCAGTTTTGAGGGTCAAAATCTCCTGTTCAGCTTTCTTCTTTTCCCCAACAAGATCAGAAACAATGTTCTTATGGTACTCAGCTTCATGAACCGATCATTCCTTCAGCAATCTCTACTTTAATTTCCAATACAAATTAGTATTTTATTCCAACATTGTATGGAAATCAAACTAAACTTGTAATTTTCACTAAAAATGCCTAACTCTATAAACCCTAACTCTATAAAATTGTAAACAATTGATTATAAATTTATGATAGAAATTGGAAAAGTCAATGAACACATTCAGACAATATACCTTCCAATATCTCCACTTCCCAAAGGCCTGATATGCTTAAAATGATGAAGTCCGATTATTTCACCATATACAGTGATCTACAAAACAATAAAAAAAAAAGGTAAACATTGTTAACATTTAAATCGAATTGAATTAGAAAGCTGAATGTTAAGAAGAATCAAATGCAAGCACCATCAAACATGAAGTCGGAACTCAGAATCTAGTTTAGGAACCTATAACAAAAAGGAGCTATGATTCCAATCTCAAACATCGAACTCTATGTTATTAGGTTAATTTACCTGAGAAGCGAGACCTATAATTTGCTAAAATGTCCAAGTAGTGAAGCGAGACCTGATCTCATTGAAATCGAAACGCAGTTGAAGAAATTGGTCGAAGACTTGAACAGCACCGACACCGATTGAACCTCTGAATCAGGAGGTCTGGAGCGATCGGACCTCTGGTTGATTTATTAGGGCACGAAACTCCGAGAGGGAAGAAGGACGCAACCATCATGTAGTTCAATCTATCAATCATTGGGGATCTTCATTGGAGATCGGTTTATGATATAATGGATCGATGAAATGGATTTTGTTTCCAGGTCAACGGTAGCGGCGTTAGGCGGTGGAAATCATTGAGGAAATCGGTGATTGAGGTCGATCCAGGGAAGAGGGGTGATTAGGTGAAGAAGACGACGTGTGAGAGAGAGAGAGAGGGATATTTAATCTGGGGAATTAAAAGAATTATTTTATTCCTAAAATGCCCCCTTATTCATTTTAAAATCATACCCCCGTGTCTTATTTTGTCTATGTATTTACAAAAATGCCACAATGCATCTTGGCCATCCTTTTTTTTAATCCAACGCTCCACTTTTAGTTCTCGGGAAACTATGGGTTCTCAAATGATCATTCATATATATATATATATATATATATATATATATATATATATATATATGATTTTTAATTTTTAATATTTCTTATAATTACAGAAATTTCTAGTTTTCATTCGTATATAAAATATATAATAGTTTTTCTATTATTTTATTATAAGAAATAATGTTTTTCTTATTGGATTTGTTTATAAGTGCCGGACTAACCGACCAGGGTTGCCTTATTAGACTGACGTTCTAGTGTGTTCTCTTACGTATCTTCAGGCGGTGCCTAGTATTCTATTTCTGGAGGGTATCATGATCAATTGATCATCTCTCACTTTAAATTCAATTCAATTCCCAGAAAATTTCTCTAGCTGAGTTTAGGCAAATTGAAGCTAATCGCAGTTAGTAGCTTTATCAGAAATTCAACCAAAATGGCAGAATCTGCTAAAAACAGGTACTTCTATTACTCTGATGGTTCATCGACCAGAGTTTTTCCCCTAAATTTGATTTAATTCATCGTTCTGTTTAACATTTCTTTTGTTCTTCAAGTCACCGGAAAAGCACCGTATGTTCATAATTAGAATCCTGATTTACCAACTCCAAAACTAATAATATTCTCTTAAATCAAACATTTGGGCAACTTTTCCGTTTTTTCTTTAGCTTCAAACTTGTTCTACAGATCTTTTCTTTTAAGCCTGATGTGATTATTAAGTATTTCACTTGTCAGTTACTAGTGTGTAGGAGATAAGACCTATTCGACGTTGAAAATTCCAAACTAAACTGTTTTGTTCTTCAAATCGTGGCAGGTTAGAATATTGATTCGTGAGAAACTTTCCATTTGTTAATAATAGAATCCTGATTTGGAAAGTCAAACTTAGTATTCTTCAGAACCATATATTACATCAATACTTTTGTTTTGCAATTAGCTTGACACATGTTCTACAGTTAACATTTATGCTTTTGATTATGAGCCCATTTGAATAAGTAAATGTGTGCAGATGTGCAGTGGTAACAGGGGCAAACAAAGGAATAGGATTTGAAGTTTGCAAGCAATTGGCTTCAAATGGAGTGAAAGTAGTGTTGACTTCTAGAGATGAAAAGAGAGGGATTGATGCTCTTGACAAATTCAAAGGAACTCATCTTTCTGATTTTGTTATATTTCATCAGCTTGATGTTACAGATCCTACTAGTGTTGCTTCCTTGGCTCAATTTGTTAAAGAACAATTTGGAAAGCTTGATATCTTGGTATTATTCAAAACCCTATCACCAAATATGTAGAGCCAATAAGATCTTACGTTTCATGTGGATTATATTATGTACAGGTGAACAATTCTGGGATAGGTGGAGCTATGAGAGATGAAGAAGCTTTTAAGGCTTCAAGAGCCATTGGCCATGATGTAAGTGGGTTTACATAAACTATTTTATCATTTGAATATATCATAGTTTAAGATATTGAATATTTTCTTGAATACAGCTTATAGAAAACCAAAATGAAATGAAAAAGATAGCAATCGAGTCTCATGAATTGGCTGTAGAGTGTCTGGAAACAAACTACTATGGAGCAAAAAGAATGGTTGAACAGTTCATTCCACTTCTAGAATCATCCGATTCACCAAGGATTGTAAATGTCTCCTCCTCCATGGGAAAGTTAAAGGTACACCACTTAGGGATGTGCTTAAAAGTTTCTTTTTGGAGCTTAAATTCATAATAATTTTCAGGGTTTGAAAAATGAATGGGCTAAAGGAATATTGAGTGATGTTAAGAACCTAACAGAAGAGAAAATCAATGAAGTGCTTAATCAATATCTGAATGATTTCAAAGAGGGATTGTTGGAAACCAAAGGATGGCCTTCTACATTGTCGGCATATATACTTTCAAAAGCAGCCATGAATGGTTACACAAGGATTTTGGCCAAGAAATACACAAGTTTTTGTATTAATTGTGTGTGTCCAGGTTTTGTTAAGACAGATATCAACTATAATACTGGTATATTAACTACCGAAGAAGGAGCTAAAACCCCAGTTAAGGTTGCATTGTTTCCGGATGGTGGTCCTTCCGGATGCTTCTTCGATAGAAACGGTGTCACATCCTTTGAATGAAAAGATTTGAAACGAAAAGTTTTATGCTTGTTTATATAATACTTTTTCTTCAACCCAATTGGAGTATGTAAAAGAATAGTGAAGAAATAATAAAGGTGAAAGTTGATTATAAATCCATTTCTGTATGAATTTCTTTCCTTTTCTTTGGAATGGAATAGAACGGGTGTTCACTTTGTGCAATTTCGTGATCAATCGGTATTACATTAAGCCAAATTCTTAGCACCGACTAAATCGATTGAAAATGAGAACTAGAAATTGTTTGTCTATCAAAATATGATTGCCAAGCTGCCGCTTACACAACACATATACACAGAACATATATGTACAATGTCAATGAACTGAGACTATATATGGGCTCAAGTGAATAAATGGGTTAACATGCAATTGGGCTACTTAACATACAACAACTATAATAATAAAAAAAAATAGTATCCGCTAACAATCATCGCAATTTTATCGGGAGGAGAGTCATGTTCGAACATGGAAAACTCTAATGAGACCGAATGCTACCTGATCTTAAGCAAACTGAATGTTGATCTCATTGTGTTGATCTCACAATAGGTTTCGTATTGAAAGAGTCTCGACAAAGAAATTTGATACTTTCTAGTACTCGGCTTCGATACTCGATCTAGAGATAACCCCTTGTCGTTTTGATGACCATGAGACCAAGTTGCCTCCTAAGAAGATAAGAAGATACTGATATTGTTATATTTATATACATTTTTAGGCATTATTTAAATACATTTAAGCTATATTTTTGCTAAATTGCAAAAATATTTTTGTACTTATAATGTTTAAATTGTATTTTACAGCAAAAAATGGATATTCTCGAAGAAAATGACTGAATCTGGATACTTTGAGGACTGGAGCTGAAAAAGATACAAAAAGAATGTTGCCGGATAGCTTGGCCCCTTGTCGGTATTTTGGCTATATCTCATGACTCGTAACTCCGATTGACGAGAATCAAAAAGTTTCGGAAACTAGAAAAAATTTCGGACGACTTTCGTTTTTATGCCAAATGCTAATTTCTAGTTTTCACGACGTGAGCCCTCTTACCTCACAACGTGAGAATAAAAAAAAATGCCGAAAACTCCCCATGTCGGTCTACGAGTTCATGTGCGACAAGAAATCCCATCCCCACGGCGTGGAGCCTATTTCCCATGTCGTGGCAACCATAATTTGGAAAGTATATATTGCTTACATTAGGTTGTTTTCAGGTGTTGGAGGCATGAGGGTTGCGATAATTAACAAAGAAAAACCTTTCCAAGAACCCTTGGAAGGTGGAATTCGATTAGAGAACAAGGGATAAAGAGAATGGAGCAAGGATTCGCACATATTTATTCGGTTTGCTTAGTTTAATCATGTTTAGCTTAGTTTTCCTTTTGTTTATGTTTTTTTCAGCTGTGATTATGGCTGATGCATATATATAATCTACTAAAGATGCTCGTAAAAGAAGACATTCTTTACATCAACCTAGTTAATAGGCCCATGTTTAGATATTGTAAGGCTAAGAATAGTGCATATAGTTGTCGATTTGACAACCAGACTTAATGTCTCATCTTAATCAACACCCCGTTGGCTTTGTCCGTTTTCCACAAGACGAGCCTTATATCCGTAGGGAATCACATCTACGTTAAATTTTTATTTTAACAACCACATATATCGTACAACATTCACTCTGGTAGGTCTCAAAACAAGAGTCTAGGTACTGTTAGACATGAGAGCCTGATATTCTTCATGTATGGCTTTATGCTAGTGTGGGTCCTGCAATGTCTGTAAATATGACCGAGGGACAGGTAAAAGGGTTGAGGTACGTAGATTTAGGTATTTAATGGGCTAGACGGACAATAACATTTTTACCACGAGTGGTCATAGAGTGTGTGGACGTAGGAGTATATGTGGGTTCGGGAACAACCGTGGGTAGAGTTTGTTGGAATGATTCTCGATAGTAGAGGAGGATGAGGGAGGTGGATATTTGGATTCAATGGTGGTGTTCTCGGTTGATAACAAAACCATGCAATCAAGGGTGGGAGGAGGAGTAAGGTAGGACCAAAACATAGGAGAAATATAATGATTTTCATCTAAAAAGCCATATAAACAGGGGTCACTGGGTGTGAGTGACCCATATGGAAATATGGATTCGTCGAACACAATATGACGAGAGTTAATTAATTTTCTAGTTGAGAGATCAAGGCAACAATATCCGCGATGGAGATTCAGGTAACCAAGGAATGCACATAGAGTTGATTTAGGTTTAAGTTTGTGAGTAGTGTTGTAACAATTGCAAAAATTGTTACTGATCGTTAAATTGCTAAAAGTAACAAACGTTATGTATAATAGAGTTAATATGTAATATTTATCAAACTATGATAAAAATACAAAATTTCATATTAGAATATATAAGAAAAATAAGCCAAAATGTCCGACGAGCTAAAATTTAGTGCGCCAAAACACACACACACACACACACACACACACACACACACACACACACACACATATATATATATATATATATATATATATATATATATATATATTGAAAGTACACGTCAACATGATCCCGAAAATATAAATTTCGTAGAAATCCAACTACGTATGAATTAGTTACGAATTTTAGAAAATAGATAAATCAACCGCACACACAAAATTTCAACGTCAAAAAGCTACGAAGAGAATGGTTGACTTTTAGCTAAAGTCATCAAAAGGAGAACCATACTACTCCTCGAGTTGGAGTCCGTACGAGAGAGATATGATTTTCGCAAAATCATTAAATCGTATAAAAATAAGGGCTAAAAATAAAGTTAGAATTACTCAATGCAACCTAAAGGAAAGTTGTAGTACTTGTTGAGAGCTACGCGTGGATATAAAGAACACCGGAAATAGAGCTCGTATGAGAAAGTTATGAATTTTACAAAATGAGCTTTTTGCGTTGCGCGCAGTACGCGCCTCGCACCTGCAGAAGCTCCTAGAAGGACATGTGGACCAGCAGAAAGTTGACACTTGGCACCCCAAACACCGCCCATTTGCGCAACGCGCACTCCGAAAATTTTGCCTATAAAAGCACCCCATGCCCCCCCCCCTCACTTTCACACAACATTCTTCCTTGCTTTCTCTCGTTTTTAGCTTCGAAATTCTCTATAAAACCCTAGGAAATTCTATATTTAAGTCTTTTTAGCTATTCGTAAGCTATACTCTTGAGCCCGACCGATCCCGAGTACCTCCCGAGTTCCGAACTTCTGAATTCTACCCTACATCAACAATTTCATGCTTCAAGGGTGAGTTCACGACCACATTTTCAAACTTTTTCGAGGGGGGGGGGAGGGTGGTATATGTTAAAAATGCAATTATACATAGTTATTACTAATTGTAGGTTAGATAATTATGCTCATAACATTAGGATGATATTATGTCCGATAGATACTCTGCCCAAACTTTTTAACTAATATTATGTCTAGTTGTTATACTGATTCACATTGATAGATAATATTATACCTAGTCATCACTCTAGCCAACTCTCTAGGAAAACATTGTACCTAGTCATCACTCTAGCCAACTCTTTAGGAAAACACTATACCTAGTCGTTATTCTGCTAAATACTCATCGATAATATTTACACTACGTCGTCGTTATGCTCAACTCAAACGGATAATAGTAATATATTATGCCGTCACTACGCTCGACTCAAACGGATAATAGTAAAATATTATGTTGTCACTACACTCGACTCAAACGGATAATAGTAATATATTATGTCGTTACTACGCTTGACTCAAACGGATAATATCAATATATTATGCTGTCACTACGTTCGACTCAAACGGATAACAATAAAATATTATGTCGTCATTACACTCGACTCAAACGGATAATATTGATATATTATGTTGCCGCTGCACTCGACTCAAACGGATAATAGAAATATATTATGTTGTCACTACGCTTGACTTAAACGGATAATAGTAATATATTATGTCGTCACTACGCTCGACTCAAACGGATAATAATGATATATTATGTTGTCGCTACACTCGACTCAAACGAATAATAGTAATATATTATGTCATCGCTACACTCGATTCAAACGGATAATATTAATAAACTATGTTGTCGTTACACTCAAACAGATAACTTGTAACGCCCCGTTCCTGGTACGATAGTAATTCTCAAAATATTCATTTTATAAGAGCTACTCGACGAGTTGGTAGCCCTAACTCGTCGAGTAGATGCGAGCTGGACGGCGGGGTTTAAGTGGACTACTCGACGAGTCAGAAATGGACTTGGCGAGTAGGTCCATCAGGAGGAAACCCTAATCCTTAGGGTTTGCACCCTATTTAAGCAACATTATGGACCTCCACCCCAGCCTCCATCACCTCCCCAGTCCATTCTCGAAACCCTAGCAACCATTGAGCGTCTTAAAGCCTTTCTTGCCATTTTTGTGTGATTTGAAGTTAGGAGAAGGAAGAGATCTTTTGGTGATTCAAGAAGAAGCAGAAGATCCAGAGTTTTTGTTGCATTTCAGAGCTCTTGAAGGTATAAAGTTTATACCTTGGCTTATTTTCACTTAGATCTTCATGAAAGCTTGTTTGTTGCCACTTTTGGGTCCTTTCCCAAGCTAATTTCGGGTAGAGAGCTTTTGGGACTGTATGGACTTTAGATCTAGGCACTCTTGAGCTCCAGAAGCTCAAAGTTGCCACCTTTATTCGGCCAAGATCCCATTCTATGCCCTAGACTCCCATTTCTAGCTTGTTTTGGGTGATTTAGCTTCATAGCATCATGTATGCACGTAAAGTTAGCAACTTTATGTGTTATTCTAGCCTAAGAAGTCCAGATCTATGAATTAGAGGCAGTGGAATCACCTAGGATCAACTGTATAATCTGAGCTTGCAATGGACTCGCCGAGTTGTGCTTGGGACTCGACGAGTCGGATCGATGTCCCCAAACCCTTCTTTGATTATGAGTGAAACCACTGAGTTAAGGAGATGACTCAGCGAGTTGGACATGAGTGAGACTCGGAAACAAAAGAACTCGACGAGTCCAAGGAGAGACTCGACGAGTAGAATCGAGATGCCCCGATGTTATGACCATTTGAACTCGACG